CTGTGGCACAGGTCATGTGGCTGTAAATCTCCTTCACGTCCTTCCTCATGTTCAGGTCCAGGAATTGGGTCTTGATGTAATTCCCGGCGTCCTCGAACGTGTTGGGGCCTGGGCAGGGAAGGAGGGAAGGGAGGGAAGGTCCTGGAGCCGCTCCCCGCCCCTCCCCGCGGGGAGGAGCTCCGGAGAAGGGCCCGGGGGGGGGGTGACCACACTCAGGGGAAACTCCCGAAAAAACGTGGATTGATCCCGTTTCAAAACCTTCCAAACAGCCTCCCGAGGGCGCGTCCCTCCTCCCCTCCGCTCCAGCCTCCGGGGATGGGACTCAGCGCTCCAGGGAGAGGGATGGAGATGGTTCTGCTCCCCCTCATCCTCCCCCTCACCCTCCTCCCCTTCCTCAGCCCTTCTCGGCATCGGCTCTGATGGTCCCATCCCTAATTTTTGGGATGGAACTGGCTCTGCTCATCCTCATCCCCTTCCCCAGCCCTAATTTTTGGGATGGAACTGGCTCTGCTCACCCTCATCCCCTTCTCCTTCCCCGACCCTTTTTTGGGGGGTGGAACCGGCTCTGATCGTCCCTAATTTTGGGGATGGAGCTGACTCTGCTTATCCCTCTCCCCTTCCCCCTCCCCATCCCATCCCCTCCATCCCCCTCAGGCTCCATCCCCCGCTCCGGGGGGGTCTCCAGGGGGGGGTTGAGAAGGGGGGGATCGCTCCGGACTCACCGTCGTACTCCGGGAAGCAGATGCTGAGATGAACCTTCTTGATCTTCTCCTCGAAAAGGTCCTTCTTGTTGAGGAAGAGGATGATGGAGGTGGCTGCGAAGAACTTGTGGTTGCATATACTGTTGAACAGGTGCAGGGACTCGTGCATCCGGTTCTGCGGGGAATTGTCACGGATTCACATCCCCCTTGAGCCCCCCCATCATTCCCAAAAAAACCATCTTTCCCTGTTTTCCCACCCCAGCCCCTCCCGCCCGCCCGAAATCCCGGGTGAATCCTCAGGGGGGTGCTCTGATCCCTCCCGGCATCGTCAGGAAAGGAGGGATTGCAGTGGGAAAATGATCCATGGAAACTGCTCTGATCCATGGAAACCACTCTGATCCTTCCTGGGATCATCAGGAAGGAGGGATTGCAGAGGGGAAATGATCCATAGAAACAGCTCTGATCCATGGAAACCACTCTGATCCCTCCTGGCATCGTCAGGAAGGAGGGATTGCAGCGGGAAAACGATCCATGGAAAATGTTCTGATCCCACCCAGGATCGTCAGGAAAGGAGGGACTGCAGCGGGAAAATGATCCATGGAAACCCCGCGGCCTGCAGGGAAGGGATGGTTTTCCCTCCTCCAGCCCCTCCTCGGGAAAGCATTCCAGGTCTCCCGTGGGAAGGGTCCTGAGCTCCCACCCGGCCATGGGGGTGCCCGGGGAAGGCAGATCCCGCCCCTGCCCCAGCTCCTGGAGGTGTTTGGATCCCAGGGAATGTCCAGGGAAGCTGGAGGAGCTGGAGCAGCTCCCGCCCTCCTCATCTTCACCCCTCGGCTCCCGTTTCTTCCCGGGAATGCCCCATCCTGGGGGTTCCACATTCCTGCTCTCCGGATCTCTGCCCTTTCCCGGGGCTCTGCTGGGGAATCCCGGGTGGGCACCCCTTGGATAATGTCCCTGTGCCCCCATTCCCAGCGCTGGGAGGGCGGGATCTGCCCCTGCTCCCATCTCTACCCCCCCGGGGGGGGCCACAGGGAGGCCCCTCCAGGATGGATTTTCCTCCATCCCACCCATTCCTGGCCTGGTGTTTTGGGATCAGGGAACACCAGGAGCTGCTCAGGAGCTTCCCAGGGGGTTTCTTCACGGGAAAAAAAAAATGGATTTGTGATCCAGAGGAAGCCCCAACCCCTGCACTGGGTGGGAACCGGCCCAGCCGCTCCTCCCGCCGGCCCCGGGGGGGGATCGGGGAGGGATCGATGGGGGGATCGATCGATGGGGGATCGATGGGTGGGGTTGTGGGAAGGGATCAGGGAGGGGGATCAGGGAGCGGGGTGGGGCAGGGGATCAATGAGGGGAATTAATGAAAGGGATCAGGGATGGGGATCAATGAGGGGGATCAA